CTTGAACTTGCATATGAGTAATTGGTGGTCTGTTGTCATGGATATAATTTTACTTGGATACATAAGCAGTGCTCATAGAAGCAGCAGTCAAGAATTCAAAATGTAGTGCACTGAGCAAGGCTGCTACTGGGACTATCACCTCTACCTACAGTAGTAAAGTGCTAAAGGGCAAGGATGTTACTTTGAGGACTAAGGTTCCCCTGACTCATGTTATTGTATTTTTAATTGCCTCATCAAAAAACTCAATACATTGCCATCAAGTAGATTCCAACTCATAACTCCACCCATGGGGCTCCCAAGGCTGCAAATCTTAAATGGAGAAGACAGTCCATCTTTTCCCAAGGACCTTCTGGGGCTACAGGATGCAATACCAAAGCGTCATATGCATCAAGGAAGAGAAAAAGAACAGATATCTCTGAATTGTGGTGTTGAAGGAGAAAACAGAGTATACCACGGCCGCCAAAAGAACCAGCAAATCTGTCCTGGAGAATCTCCTGTGATGTCAGGGTAGTGAGACTTCATTTCACATACTTTGACCATGTTATCAGAAGGGGCCAGTCTTTGAAGAAAGACTTCACACTTGGAAGAGTGAAGGAGTAGAGAAAAAAAGAGACCTAGTGATCACAAAACAATGGGTGCAGGCCCAGCAAGAATTATGAGGATGGCCCAGGACCCAACTGTGGTCCATTCTGTTGTACATAGGGTTGCTATGAGTTGGGGCTCACTTAACAGGGCCTAATAACAACAACTACTTCACTTCCTGCTGATAAAAGTCATATGTGAGTTGTATTTAATAGAGAGCTTTGTATAAAGTATAGTGCAGTGTATTTATTAGAAGACACCCAGAAGGTCAGTAATTTGAGTCCACCAGCCCCTGCAGTACCATGTACTTCTGCAAAGATTAATAATCCTAAAAACCCTGTGAAGGAGAGTTCTGTTCTCTCCTACGGGGGTCCTAAGTTGGAAAAGAGTCAATGACAGTGCGTTTGAAATTTTACAAAATTAAATGCACTTAGTTTCTGATTGGCAGGAGGGAGGAGCTGGAACACCCCACATGCAGATTTGAAACTTTTATTCCTAATTATTTATCCTTTTAAGTATGTCCATATGCACAGAGATTTATATCTAAGTATGTCATTTGCTGCATTTTTGTGGCTATATACAACATAACAAAGCTGAAAGCATCTAAATGTTTATAATAAAGATATGGATGAATAAGTTATGCTGCTATTATGTGCTATAGAGTCAAATCAATCACATTTCTTGTCCATTTGATTGGACAGAAAGAATTACTGCCAAGTAACCCTTTTCAAGCACATGAAAATTCATATAATATGACATTATGTATGTTTCTTTTTAAAAGAGCATATGCATACACACATGTGTATTCAACTAAAAAGCATCATTGCTATTGAGTTAGCACTGACACATAGCTGACCTTGCACTGGGTAACTAGACGCTATAAATCACATGGGAGGAGATTGCCTATCTTTATCTCATGAAGCAGCTAGTGGATTTGAACTTCCTAAAAGGGGCTGCCTTTGGGTAAACAGTGAATCAACCTATATGGATAGATAACTTCTTGTGAGATGCCCTAGAATTGGAACAGAAAAAGAGACTTTGATTTTTTTCATTTTCTTTTTGCTTTGTTTTCTTAAAATTATATTTAATAGCTTCATAATAAAGAAAGAGTTTAAAAAGAAAAAGAGTTCTACCTGTATAGGAAAACATGGGTTTTGGTTCTCACATGTCATCTGGCAATCAATTCCTCCCCAAAACCCAGCTTTACTTGTGCTCTGAGGTGTGAATGCAATATCATGATCAATATATTGTCCCCACACCATAAGGAGATCAGAATATTGGTCATCTTCCGTAACAGCCTCGTTTGAAACTTGAATAACTTGTCTTGTCACTTCCCGAACCTAGGAAAGAGAAAACAAGTTTTTCATGATATAGGAAAGTCATATTGTAGACAGAAAAATTACAGTGTGGGATAATAAATTTCATGGTGTGCTGCTTGCTCATAGGACTCTTGGTAAACTCGTAGAAGATCTAACCCTTGTAATTATAGTGGGAAGAGAGTGGGCTCTGAAGATAGACACAACTAGGTTTGGATCACTACTGTGCTATTTACGTATTACATTGTTCCTCATTTGACTTCTGTTAAGTCTTAATTTCTTTGTCTGCAAATGGATATAAAGAGATCAATTTTCCAAGATTGCTAAGAGGACTAAACACAGTCACTGATAAAGCATGTGACCATTATGATGAGGTATGTGACACAGAGGATGGAGCCACAGTCCCGGAAGTGAGAACCTTTTGCTACAGAGACTAATCTTTAGGTTTAGGAACACAGAGGCATTTACTCAGATGGGTTTTTAAATTGGTTGAAAACAGTCATATCTTTATCTTTTCATTTTTTGTTTTCAAGAATATCTATAGTTTTAAACCATTATGCTGTGCCTATCCAGCTATTGTTTTCTGGGGGCAGATAGTTTGCTTCTAGTTATCATGCCCCAAAAGGAAGAATTTTGCCCTAGGATGGATTAATTCACAGTACACATGTATTTAAAGAAATTTAATGAGATTTGGGGATTTTCAGTTGATGGTATTTTGCATAAAATTTTGGATGTAGGATTGATGATGGAACTTGTTGGATACTTTGGTTTAATAATGCATTTCACCTATGAAATAGGTATGAATTTTTTGGAACTAAAGTGTATATTGTAGTAGACAGAATAATACCTCCTTAAATAGGTCCACCCTGAATCCTTAGAACCTGTGAATGAATGTATTATCCAAATGGTAAAAAAGGATTATATATATAATTTAAATTAAAGACCCTGAGATGGAGAAATCATCTTGGACCATCCATGTGGGTCCATAGCCAATGGGGTGCTTAACATCTGAAAACTTTTCCTGGCTGTGGTTGAAATGAAATGTAACTTTAGAATAAAGGCACAGAGAACTGCAATGTTACTGGCTTTGAAGAAGGCAGAGGCCAGCCAAGAAATGAGGAAGATGGAAAAGAAAAGGAAACAGATTCTCCCCTAGAGTTCTCAGAAAGGAATATGGTTTGCTGACTCCTTTAATTTTAGCCCAGTGAGATTCATGTCAGCCTTCCAACTATAGAACTGTGACATAATAAGTCCGTATTGCTTAGCCACTGTTGTTGCTTTGTGCCAAAGTGTTGGAATTGATTCATCTAAATGTTATGGGACTATAACTCTATGAATCCACGTTTGTTAAGGATTATGTAATTACTTAGAGAAGCCAGAATTAAAGATCTTAAATGTGGATACATTAAGTTGCCATTGCTGCTGTAACACATTATCAGAATCTGAATGGCATGAAAAGAAGCTTTGGTGCTTAGGAGCTGCATTGTCAACCCCAAGGCACATGATTCAAACATAACAACAGGTCCACAGAAGAAAGATGGACAATCTCCTCCTGTGAGATTTACTGCTTCTAAAAACCCACTGGAGGATCAGCTATGAATCGATTCAATCTCAGTGATACATAACAAGCTGACCCTCCAGCAGATTTTCAGAGGCTTTAAATTACACAGGAAGAGATTGCCTATCTTTTATCCCTGGAGCAGCTGGTGAATTGAACTGCCTGCCTTTGGGATGGCAGCACAACTCCTTATTATTAAGTCAACCTGCCTTCCTTTTTATGCCACTAAGGTTCTGAAAATGTGTTAGAGTAGCAATGGGAACTTAATGCCTTCCCTATTTAAAATCTTTGATTCTGGCTGTTATAAATAATCACAAATTAACTAATATGGGTTCATAGACTTGTAGTCCCAGAACACTTAAAGACATGTGACGAGTTCAAGTAGTCCAGAGTGCAGCACAAACACTAAGGTATTAGTGCCCCATTCTGTACGTAATCCAATAGGAGTTAAGAATGGTTAAGTAATTTGCAGGAAGTTAAGGATGAACAATGAACCGGGTCTATTTGGTCTTTTACTTCTGAGAAGAATCGAGATTATTTCAGTGTCTCAGAGATTTTACATTTCCTCACTAGTTCTTTCTATCTTCTTAGAATATACTTTTCCTCTCACTCAATGTGGTTTAGTTAATTTTGAGTCTAATTTTTATTAAAAGGGTAGTTACTAACAGAACAAGATATTATTTGATTGTCATATTCATGATTGTTACTATGCCTTATTAAATAGCCATCTAGAAAAATTTCCCAAGTAAATGGCCTTAGTAAAGTCTGACACCTTGTGATGGTGTACCAATTTACAGCCATTCTAAACCAGATTCTGTATATACTTTGAACTGAAATATATGTAACATATATTAAATATGTATAATTATATATATTATTGAAAACAATACAGGAAAAACATAGATCTGCCTAACACACATACAATTAATTTATTCATGGAAATGAGTGATCAATCTGAGGACAAATAATCTATTGTTTAACCAAATTGACCTGATTGGGTATAAATCTATTTAAGCAAATAAATTCTTCTCTGGGGCAAATAAAGCCACAATTATCATCTTTACATAAATGAGTGAATTAATTAATTGATACATATCTCTGAATGTACTTAGTGTTCTACCTAATGAATAAATAATCCTTTTGAAAATACTGAAGCAATTGTAAAGCGTAAAGATGCCAGAGTTAGAAGAATCTTAATTTAAACTTGCATTTTTCCTTAACTAGTTGATTAACTTCAATTTTCAGGTACCTAGGATGCTAAATTGTAATTAGCTATATCATAAGAGTGTTGTGAAGATCAAAGGAAATTATATCAAGCATCTGGCATAGTGTCTGACATATTGAGCAAGGTCTCAGTAAAAAGTTAGTTTCCTAAAAAAAAAAAATCAGGAGGTTTGTTAACATTATAGAAAACTAATTTCAATGCAATTTAAGTAGCATCTAGTGCACAAACCAGGGGCAGTGGGAATCCATTATACAAGAAATTGTGGTTCCACCCTTTGGGCTGACTTATTCCATCTTCATAAACTGGAGGAAGCCATCTTGCCAGGGCTGTGTTGGCAGCTCCCCATCTAGGATGATCTCTGTGAAAAACAAAGGGAAACAACATAGTTGAAAGTGGGCACAAGATATGAATAGACACCTTACCAAAGAAGACATTCAGATGGCAAACACACACATGAAGAAAATGTTCAAAATTCCTAGTTCTAAGGGAGATGCAAATCAAAACAACTATGAGATATCATCTCTCTTCAGTAAGACTCGCAAAATTTAACAGAACAGCAAACAAAAAATGCTGGCAAGGTTGTGAAGAAACTAGAACCCTTATTCACTGTTGGTGGGAGTATAAAATGGTGCAACCACTGTGGAAGGCAGTATGGTGCTTTCTCAAAAAGCTAGGAATAGAAATACCATTTGACTCAGCAATTCTACAACTGGGAATACACCCTAAAGAAATCATAACTGCCATCCAAGCAGATATATGCACACCCATGTTTATTGCAGCTTTGTTCACAATAGCAAAGAGCTGGAAACAACACAAGTGCCCATCAATAAACAAATGGATAGAGAAGCTTTGGAATATTCATGCAATGGAATACTAGCAGCATTGAAAAACCAGGAACTCAAGAAATATTATACAAAATGGGTGATCCTGGAGGACATTATGCTGAGTGAAATATCTCAGGCACAAAAGGACAAATACTGCATACTGCCACTGTTGTAAAACAGGACTGACATTGGGGTTGGGGGAAAACTAAAAGAGGATAAATAATATAGACTGCATTGAAACAGATAAGGGAGAGAACTCTTTAGGAGGAATATATGATTAGGTATTATTGTCATCACAAGAGTCCAGAATGAAAGCTGCATAGTGGATTAGACTGGGGAGGGGGATTGTATAACAATGAAATATTTTTTTTTATTTTTCAAAGAGAAAAGCCGACTGGGGGCAGGAGAGGTGGGCAAAGAGGAAAGTGTGCAACAATGAATGAATGGAAATCCAAAGTCTCTTTACACTTTTATTAAAATAAAAAAAAATTTAAAAAGTTTGAGATGGAAAGAGTAGGGAAAGAATCAGCAAATTTCAAATACATTACTGGATTACATATAATTCTCAAGAAAAACAAATGGGAATGGCTTCTCTGATGAATTTGCTTTAAAGAAATAATTGTGAACTGGGGTACACTTTCCTGATTTTACTGATACGGATAATTACAAGGAAGGTAATTCATAATGCCTCAAATTTCACATACGCTCATTCTTGACATTTCTTAAAGTGAAAAAAACTGAAGATCAAACACAAGCTTTGAGTTTGCAATACTTAAGGATGGTACAGGCAGAATATTAAATGACTCAGAAAGCATCAAAAGGATATGGATGGGCAAAGTTCTGGCATGAAAAGCAATGCATGTGAACTTTGTATGTTAACAAGTATAAAATATTTAAAAAAAGAGGGGGAGAGGAGGAAAGAATTGGCTGAAACAGAATAAATTCATGAAAAAACATGACCAAGAGGTAATGATGAGGAAGAAGGAAGTTAAAGTTGCTCTGAAGGAACTAGCAGGAAACACGCCCAAGAATTAATAGAATACCAATTGACATATTTCAATAAACAGATGCAGCCGTGGATGTGCTCACCAGCTGTGCCAAGAAATCTAGAGGACAATCAGCTGGCCAACTGACTGGCAGAGATCCGTATTTATTCCCCCCTCCCTTTTTTTTTATGGTGATCTGACAGAGGTTGGAAATTATTGAATGTGTCACAATACTACACATAAGCAAACTCCCGCTGAAGATCGTTAAAAAACAACTGGAACATTGACAGAGAACTACCAGAAACGCAAGCTGGCTTTAGAAGAGGTTGTGGTACTAGAGATATCATCACAAATGTCAGATGGATCTTGACTGAAGGCAAAGATTACCAAAGGAATGTCTTCCTGTGTTTCATTGACTACTCAAAGACATTTGACAGTATGGAGCACAACAAATTGTGGCTAATCTTGAAAAAAAAAGAAAAAAGGGAAGCCCAGAACACTTGATTGTACTCATGCAAAAGCTATACTTGGACCAGGAAGCAGTCAGCAGAACAGAGCAAGGAAACACTGCATGATCAAAACCAGGAAAAGAGTACATGTGATGTGTCCTGGCTACATATCTTTTCAAGCTATACACGTAGAAGAGCATTCATAAAGCTGGACTTTATGAGAAGGAGTGCTGCATAAGGATTGGAGAGAGACTATCAACAACTTGCATTACGCTCATGATACAACCTTGCTTGCTGAGGAGAGCCTGAAGCTTTTGCTGCAGAGAGTCAAGGACTGTAGTCTGCAATATGGATTGAAGATCAATATCAAGAAATGAAGATTCTCACCACTGAGCCAATTGGCAGCACTATGATAGATAGAGAATAGATTGAGATTGTTAACAATTTGAGCTTGCTTGGTTTCACAATCAACACTCTTTGGCATAGCAGTCAGGAAATCAAAAGATTAATTGCATTAGGAAAATCTATTGTCAGGGACCTCTCCAGAGAGCTAAAAAGCAACGATGTCAGTCTAGAGACCAAGGTATGCCTGATCCAGGTCATGGTCTTCACAATTCCTTGCCACTCATCAGAGAGCTGGACAATAACCAAAGATGACAGAAGAATTGATGTCTTTGAGCTGTGGTACTGGAGAATGGTATTGAACATGCTATGGAATGACAAGAGAGCTAATATGTCTGTTCTGGAGAGGGTAAAGCCAAACTGCTCCTTGGAGGCAAGGATTTTAAAGCTGTCTCACATACTTTGGGCATATTGCCATGAGGAACCAGTCCTTGAAGAAGGACATGCCTGGAAGGGTGTTGGGAAAGCACAGGAGAGGAAGATTCCAAATGAGGTGAATTGACATAGTAACTGGGGTAACGAGGGTAGGTAGGTGTGTTAGAGATAGTGAAATTGGCTCAAGATAGAGCAGGGTTCAGAGCTATTCTGCATAGGGTCATTATGAGTTGTGCTTGACTCAATGGCACATAACAACAACAACAATAACTTTCCTCAACTTAACAATGCACCTGGTTTTTTTTGTAACCTGCCAGTTGAATTCTCCTTTATCCCTTTCCTTTTCCAATAGCCATTTTTCCATTATAACTCTTTTTTTGAAAAGTATATCTCTCACTCTAATACAATGTACAGTTGTGCACTGCCCTGAAGGATAGAAACTTTCTGGGACTCCAAACAAAGAGATCATATGAAATATAGTTTTATCTGATCATCTTTTAATCAAGTCACCATGAATTCACCTTAGGGCTTCCTGTCTTTTCCTGTCACATATATTTTAGTTAAGGCTGAAGTATCCATTAGAAACTGGGTGCTTGGGAGCTTGCTAGAATATTCTAAATTCAGAAGTGAGATGGTTGTCAAGGGAACATTTATTAACACATTTATTTGGACTTAAAACGAAAGATTTTTTCCAAAAGTACGTCCTATTTGTTTGATTGATTTGACAAGATGATGGACAGTTCCAATTAGCTTAAATGGTAATATTTTCTATAAATAGAGCAATTTTCAATTTCATTTTAATTGTCGAATGTATCAGACAAGAATATATTTAAAGTGTATTGTATGGCAAAGATGTGTTTAGTAATATTTTTATTTTACCAATTGCTTATATTCATATTGTGTTAAAGTATTTTTAAGTAAAAAAGGCAGGTATATTTGATAGTCATCTGATAAATCTTGATTGAACTTTTGGGGATTATCTGAAGAAAATGAGTAATTGAAAGACTAATCATAGTGAATCTTTTCACAAATCAGGTGAATTTTACTATTTGTTTAAAATTACGAAAGAAAAATTGAGTTATATCAGTTAGGCCAATACAAAGAATTGTAATAATAACTCATGAGATTATAATTTTCTAGGATGTCACTAAAGAAATTTTGAGGACTAAGTTTTATTAGAATAAAACTTCTACCCTTCCCCACTATGTATTTATGTGAAACACTTTTAAAAACAGACTTCTTGGTGAGCTCTGGTGGCCTAGTGGCAGGAAGCTGCACTGCGATCCCAGAGGTGAGCAGTTCGAATCCACCAGATGCTCTGCTAGAGATGGAGGGACACTCTCTTCCTATACCAGTCAGATCTCATTTGACAGTACATACACAAAAAAGAATAAAAATTTTAAAAAATTAAAACCAAAACAAAACAGAATTCAATTGTAAAAATAGGCAAGAGATGATGGTATACTCAGTAGCATTTTAAAATTATTGTTGTCATGACTTATGGCAATCCTCTGAACAACAGATCTGAACCTTGTTGTATTCTCAGCTATTCTCATGATCTCTGATATGCTCGAGTTCGTTTTGTTAAATTCATTATGTCAATCCATCTTGCTAAGGATCTCCCTTATTTTCTCCGGTCTTACAGTTTTCCAGCATGATGTTCTATCACTCCAATGCCTGGTCTCTTCTGACAACACGGCAAAAATATGTGAGATGAAATTTCACCATCTTTACTTTTAAGGATCACCCTGGTTGCACTTCTTCTAAGACAGATTTGTTTATTCTTTTTGCAATACCTGGAATATTCAAGGCATTGATTCTGTCATCTTTAGTCATTATCCAACTTTCAGATGCAGAAGAAAGAATTTAAAATACCATGGCTTGTACCAGGTGCACCTTAATCTTGACACTAACATCCAGCATGCTTGTTCGTTAGAACTTTGGAGAGGTCCTTGACACTAGATTTTCCCAGTACAACATACCTTTTGGTTTTTTGCCAGCTGTTATCATAGATGGTGATTGTAGATACTTATAAAATGAACCAGTTTATAATTTCAATCTTTTTCTCCATGTATCATTATATTGTATATTGGTCTAGTGGTAAGAATTTTTCACCCATGATGTTATGATGCCATCCATAGAATAATTGTAGTCTTTGATTTTCTACAGCAAGTGCTTCATTTCCTGTGAGCAAGATTGTGCCATTTGCATAATTCAGGTTGTTTATGAGTCTTCTTCCAATCCTGAAGCTAAATACTTCTTCATATTGTCCAGTTCCAATCCTGAAGCTAAATACTTCTTCATATCGTCCAGTTCTTTAAC